TAAGCCAAGTTTTCTGCCACTTGGCAGAATTAAAGTTCCAAAATGTCTGTATATTCTAGGCTTTAAGAGCGAATATTCCGATCTCTGCGAAGACAACGAGTTAATCAGTATGGAAATTCTTATGGACTTATGGCAAAGAAATCGACCTGTCGAGTTAAAAGGAGAATCATCAGAAGAAATGCCTCAAAGCAACCCTATCGAGGCAGAAGCCGTCCCAAACTACAGAGAAGTAGAAAGCCAGGCCGACCACGAAAAATCTATCATATACCAACAGATTCCAGGATCCCTTAACAATTGACGAAGCGATCAGCACAAGCGAGCACAGCCGGTAGTCTCGCGCAATCGAGGTTGAATACATGGCCCATATCATCAACGAAACAAGGGTGATAGTAGAGCAGAGTACCCACACAAATACATTCCCATTTTAGACTTGCATTTGTGTTCACTAACGTTTATAGTCGTTTTACAGCAGTGGTGGTCCGAAACTCTGCCGCAGCGCTTTCGGCGCACAGACCGTATGAGTGCGTATATAGGCGCCGTTTGCTTTTGTGTGAAATACCAAATTTTTCTTTTTTGAGCGAACAGGAGAACGAAACATGAATTCCGTCACAGCTTAAACTTCATTGAGGCAAGACTACCGCACTCATATTAAAAATATTGCCCTGCCAAAAATTGCTTCCTGAACTTTGAGAGGAATTTGCGCATCACTGTTGGGTATTGCGCATCACTGTTTTACAGTGTCGGTGTGCAGACTATTACATATGATAGTGGTTATGGCACCACTGGCATAGAAAGTCATCATTTTGGATGCTCCTAAATACCCACGCGGCTCAAGCTCATTTCAAATTTTTTTTAAATTTTTCCCACACATCCATGGCGAGCTCTATAGCTTTTATAGTTTCTGAGGTACACGCGTTTATACGAACAGATGGACATGCCTATATCGACTGGGCTGTTGATGCCGATTAAGAATCTATATTTTTTAGGGGGCCGAAAACGATTTCTTCTTTATGTTCATAAGTTAACACGAAAACAATATACCCTTGTACATTACGAGTACCGCGTATAATTAAAAAATGGTACATAACTCTTGGTAAAATGTGTTAATTACTGAACACACTGATACGTTACTTTGTTTGTTTGGCACTTTAATGAAAATTTGTTTGGAAATGGTTTCCGGGTTGAACGTTGGGCAGTTGCATTTAACCCGTTGCAATGAAAATAACTGCTTACTTAATATTGTGTACAATATTTTGCTCAAGTATGTCAAAACATACCTATGAAAATTTAAGTGTGATTGGCAGGACCAAACGATTTTTAATATTTCCACGACAAGCTCCAACGCGCCATCAGGTATATTTTTTTGTACGAACGTGTTACGTGTTAAAAGCTGAGTTTTATCTACCGTATAATGCAAGTATTTATAGGCAAACCCCGTTTTTCCCCGAATATAAATTTATTACTAAAAATGAAAATCAACGGAAATTAAATAAAGCTGTGGACATAAGGTGGCAATTCTACGAGTTCATAGAGCAATTACTTAAAAGGTATGTTTAATTCAGTGGTCGCATTTTAATGCATTAGTATCAGTAACTTTCCTACGCTTCGGAAAAAGGCACTGCCGACCACTGATTCAACAAAAAGACTATAATTTTCAAGAATATATAACACTTTTAACTAAGTTATGACTTTGACGGCCATGACTGTTTATTACAGGCAATTTGTATGGCTAACAAAATACGGTTCTCTAAGTATATTAGTTTTGCCGACGAAATCTTACATTTATTTTTAAGGTGAGATTAAAATTGAAAGAATATTTTATTTTTAGTTTTTACCCTTGAAGAGGTCTGTAAAGCAAAGAAGTAGACATATCCAACCTCTTATATATATTCCCCATAAGTAAATACTCTATCTAAATACTCTACGCTTAAAAGCAATATGTATGTAGCAATGTAGCAATGTAGGAATGTGTATGTAAGAACATTCTTTAACTGCCATAAAACTAATCGGAAATTTATTTACTTTGGTCGTTTTAAACTATAAAGGTTGGGACTTTATACGAACTACCTTTTTGGCCATATGTGTAGAATTTGTTTAAAAAATTTGTATAAGGATCGACCCATTATATCCTTTAGCTGCCATAAAGCTAAACGAACAAAAAGGTCAAGACGTTGGGGTTTTGAACATTAAAGTTAGGGACTCTTTTCAAAATTTGTATTATAAAAAAATTGGTAATTAATATCCGATATTTGCGATACATATCCGATATGATGTATGTATGTATAATAAATACTGCAACCTAACTGCAAGGTTTTTTTAACTTCGGCTACACCCGAAGATAACTTTTCTTTTTTGTTTAAACTGACAAAAAGAAACTATTTAAACTTTTTTTAAATTTATTATAGACCATCTTCATCCATTAACACTAAATCGGAATGTTCGTATGACTTTATCATCGCAGAGAAGAAGGCACCAGCAATAAACTGTGAAAAATATGTTTGTAATAATAACCCACTTAACTGGGTTTCTCGCAATCTAATCTAATAACATTTAATAAATTTGTTGTATCAAAATTGTAAATTTTAAGCAAGCTGTAGTCAAAACATACAAAAAATTATATTAAAAAAATTGTTGTTTTAAATATTTGCGTTGACCATTTGCGTTGCATTGTTTTGAATATTCATACAATTTTTTAATTATACTTATGTACCACTATACTTATGTACCAAATAATATTAAAGATTTCATCTTTCAGTTACAATTTCTTCGAAATACTCATTCAAGTTTATCCCAAATAATTCTAATTCGTGGAGTACAAGGCTATATTGTAGTCGTGTTTATCTATGTAACATAGAGGAGAGATGATTCCGGCGTTGATCTCATAAATTGCAGCGCCATTAAAATTTCGGCAGCGTCAATACAGAAAGGTTTTTTTAATAACTTGTGATGCAAAAAATTTTAATAAAAATAAAAATTACAAAAAAATTTGTAATCTTTATCCATATATTTAAAATTTTCCATACAAAGTGCTACAATTTTGAACGCGTGGATCTCGAAGACTATAAAAGATATAACTATCCAATTTCGAACCTGGACTTGTATGGCAGATCAAGTTATAAGAGATATATAAGGGATGAGGGATTATAAAGGATATAGTTCTAATATCCGCGAAGATCAAGTTTGTCCAAATTTTTTAATGGAGTTATAGATTTTTTATTTGTGTTCCCCTACAGAATCGGGAGAATGGATGTTGGGGTGCTTCGGTTGTTTTTTTGTATGCAAACAAATTTTTTGCTGTTCCGGTTCCTGACCTCGGCTCGCGGTGTGTGCATTTTTTTCCGCGGTAAAACGTCCGCCAAACTTCACTTACCGGTAGAGGGCGCAAGCTAGTCAAATCAGCAAGAGCGACATCCGACGACTGCGAAGGGTACCTGTTGCAGTTCTCTTTTCTTTTATTTATGGAGACATACTCTATGCCCGACACCGCGTATCATTCGTACAGGACGCTTAAGTAGTGTATTAGACAAAATTTCTCACTCGTTCTTTTCACTTATAGTGATGAAACGTGTTTTTTTTGTGCGTTTGCGTTTTTAACTTGTTTTTGTTTGCATCAAACTCGGGTTTTCTTAAATTTAACTGAAAGCCTTAACTCCAAGTAAACATAAATATACTGACTAGCGCCTGCTAAGCGCTTGAACAGTGAAATATTTGTGTCAGAAAAATAAAATTATCATTCCAAATAGATTTCTGTTTCTATTATGTTTTTTTTTTCTATAATTCTCTGAATTCAACTAAGCTTTCTCCCAAAGTTTGGCTCTACTATTGTTGCAGCGGTTCATTATCGAGAGTGAACATGGTCAAATCAGGCATCTTGCTCGAGAATGCAAAAGCAGAAGGAATGGTGCAGAAAAGAACCTAAGCAACATGTGGTGTATCGACAGTGGATGTACGTCACATATGAGTTCTGATGCAAACTTATTTGTTACCATGAAAAACATGAATCTTAAATAACTATAAGATTAAAGAATAATCAAAGTGCTGCACGAAATCTCAATTGTCTGGACAAGAAATCGCATCAAGCAAACCAGATCCACCGCCACTCAGAGCAAGATGGACTTATGGAACGACAGGATGAGCCACATTAATAAATTTGAACTTATGTCAATCATCACTTCTCTCTCTTTCTCTTAAGCGAACGGTCGTATTTTTTCAAGGTAAGTGGTTCAAGGTAAAGTATATTTTTTAACTTTTTATACCCTTGCAGAGGGTATAATAATTTTGGTCAAAAGTGTGCAACGCAGTGAAGGAGACATCTCCGACCCTATAAAGTATACATATTCTTGATCAGTATCACCTCCTGAGTTGATATAAGCATGTCCGTCTGTCTCTCCGTCTGTCCGTTTCTACGCAAACTAGTATCAGTTTTAAAGCTATCGACTTTGCACAAACCCTTCTTTACCCTTTGCACGCAGTATATATGTCGGAACGGCCCGGATCGGTCGACTATATTCTATAGCTGCCATATAACTGATTGATCGGAAATGGTATAACTTTAATGTTTTTAAAATTTGAGAGTTCAAATTTTAGGTGAGAGCTATTTTTGGCAAAATAATACGACATGCCAAATTTCATAAGGATCGGCCGACTATATCCTATAGCTGCCATATAACTGAAAGATCGGAAATGACCCAACTTTCGTGTTTTTGAAGATAGAAAGCTGGAACTTGTACAGATTATACAGATTTTGTCAATTAATCCGACCTACGAAATTTCATAACGATCGGGCGACTATATTTTGAAGAAAGAAGTTTGGGACTTGTTTTAAATATTGTCTTACTATAAATATACTATAACAAGATCT